ATCCAATTCTATCAAATTCTATCAAATTCTATCGAATTAAGTTCAATTCAATTCAATCCAATTAAATACAATTCAATCTAATTCAGTTCAGTTCAATTCAATCCAATTCAATAAATTCAGTTCAATTCAATCAAATTCAACCCAGTTTAATTTAATTCAATTTAATTCAATCCAATTCAATTTAATTCAATCCAAGTCAATTGAATTCAGTTCAATTCAGTTCAATTCAATCCAATTCAATCAAATTCAATTAAATTCAATTCAATCTAATTCAATCAAATTCAATCAAATTCAATCCAATTCAGTTCAATTCAATCCAATTCAGTCAAATTCAATTGAATTATGTTCAATCAATTCAATCCAATTGAATCCAATTCAATTTAATCCAATTGAATCCAATTGAATCCAATTTAATCAAATTCAATCCAATTCTATCAAATTCTATCAAATTCTATCGAATTAAGTTCAATTCAATTCAATCCAATTAAATACAATTCAATCTAATTCAGTTCAGTTCAATTCAATCCAATTCAATAAATTCAGTTCAATTCAATCAAATTCAACCCAGTTTAATTTAATTCAATTTAATTCAATCCAATTCAATTTAATTCAATCCAAGTCAATTGAATTCAGTTCAATTCAGTTCAATTCAATCCAATTCAATCCAATTCAGTTCAATTCAGTCCCATTCAATCCAATTCAATCAAATTCAGTTCAACCCAATTCAATCCAATTCATTTCTATTTAATCCAATTCAATCCCATTTAATTTAATTCAATTTAATTCAATCCAATTCAATTAAATTCAATCCAATTCAATCCAAGTCAATTGAATTCAGTTTAATTCAATTCATTCCAATTCAATCCAATTCAATCAAATTCAATTAAATTCAATTCAATCTAATTCAATCAAATTCAATCAAATTCAATCCAATTCAGTTCAATTCAATCCAATTCAGTCAAATTCAATTGAATTATGTTCAATCAATTCAATCCAATTGAATCCAATTCAATTTAATCCAATTGAATCCAATTGAATCCAATTTAATCAAATTCAATCCAATTCTATCAAATTCTATCGAATTAAGTTCAATTCAATTCAATCCAATTAAATACAATTCAATCTAATTCAGTTCAATCCAATTCAATCCAATTCAGTTCAATTCAATCCAATTCAATCCAAGTCAATCGAATTCAGTTCAATCCAATTCAATCCAATTAAATCCAATTCAATTCAATTCAATCATATTCAGTTCAATTCAGTTTAATCCAATTCAATTGAATTCAGTTCAATTCATTTGATTCCAATTCAATCCAATTCATTCGACTTCAGTTCAATCCAATTTAATCCAATTCAATCGAATTCAGTTCAATCCAATTTAATCCAATTCAATCGAATTCAGTTCAATTCAATTCAATCCAATTCAATCCAATGCAATCCAATTCAGTTCAATTCAATCCAATTCAAACAAATTAAATCCAATTCAATCGAATTCAGTTAAATTCAATTCAATTTAATTCAATCCAATTCAATCCAATTAATTTCAATCCAATTCAATCAATTCAATTTAATTCAATCCAATTCAATCCAATTCAATTTAATACAATTTAATTCAAATCAATTCAGTTCAGTTCAATTCAGTTCAATTCAATTACATTCAATCCAATTCAATTCAATTTAATTCAATTTAATTCAGTCCAATTCAATTTGATCCAGTTCAATTTATTTCAATCCAATCCAATCCTATTCAATTAAATTTAATTCCATTTAATTCAATCCAATTAAATTCAATTTAATTCATTCCAATCCAATTCAATTTAATTTAAATTAATTCAATACAATTCAATTTAATTCAATCCAATCCAGTTTAATTCAATCCAATTCAATTCAATTCAGTTCAATTCAATCCAATTCAATCTAATTCAGTTCAATTCAATCAAATTCAGTTAAGTTCAATCCAGTTCAATCCAATTCAATCCATATCAGTTCAATTCAATCCAATTCAGTTAAATTCAATTCAATCCAATTAAATTCAATTAAATTCAACCCAATTCAATTTAATTTAGTCCAATCAATCCAATTCAATTCAATTTATTTCAATCAAATTCAATTTAATCCAATTCAATTTAATTCAATCTACTTCAATTCAATTTAATCCAATTCAATTCATTTCATTTTAATTCAATCCAAATCAATCCAGTTCAATTTAATTCTACACAATTCAATTTAATTCAATTAACTTCAATTCAATTTAATCCAATTCAATTCATTTCAAACCAATTCATTTCAATTTAATCCAATTCAATTCAATCCAATTCATTTCAATTCAATCCAATTCAATCCATTTCCATTTAATTAAATAAAATTCAATCCAATTCTTTTCAATTCAATCCAATTCAATCATATTCAGTTAAAATCAATCCAATTCAATCCAATTCAGTTCAATTCAATCCAATACAATCCAATTTGATCCAATTCAAACCAATTCAATCCAATTCATTTCAATTAAAATCAATCAAATTTATTCCAGTTCAATTTAATTCTACCCAATTCAATTTAATTCAATTTACTTCAGTTCAATTTAATCCAATTCAATTCATTTCAATCCAATTCATTTCAATTTAATCCAATTCAATCCAATTAAATCCAATTCAATCCAATTCAATCATATTCAGTTCAATTCAGTTTAATCCAATTCAATTGAATTCAGTTCAATTCATTTGATTCCAATTCAATCCAATTCAATCGACTTCAGTTCAATCCAATTTAATCCAATTCAATCGAATTCAGTTCAATCCAATTTAATCCAATTCAATCGAATTCAGTTCAATTCAATTCAATCCAATTCAATCCAATGCTATCCAATTCAGTTCAATTCAATCCAATTCAAACAAATTAAATCCAATTCAATCGAATTCAGTTAAATTCAATTCAATTTAATTCAATCCAATTCAATCCAATTAATTTCAATCCAATTCAATCAATTCAATTTAATTCAATCCAATTCAATTTAATACAATTTAATTCAAATCAATTCAGTTCAGTTCAATTCAGTTCAGTTCAATTCAGTTCAATTCAATCACATTCAATCCAATTCAATTCAATTTAATTCAATTTAATTCAATCCAATTCAATTTGATCCAGTTCAATTTATTTCAATCCAATCCAATCCTATTCAATTAAATTTAATTCCATTTAATTCAATCCAATTAAATTCAATTTAATCCAATCCAATCCAATCCAATTCAATTTAATTTAATTTAATTCAATACAATTCAATTTAATTCAATCCAATCCAGTTTAATTCAATCCAATTCAATTCAATTCAGTTCAATTCAATCCAATTCAATCTAATTCAGTTCAATTCAATCCAATTCAGTTAAGTTCAATCCAGTTCAATCCAATTCAATCCATATCAGTTCAATTCAATCCAATTCAGTTAAATTCAATTCAATCCAATTAAATTCAATTAAATTCAACCCAATTCAATTTAATTTAGTCCAATCAATCCAATTCAATTCAATTTATTTCAATCAAATTCAATTTAATCCAATTCAATTTAATTCAATCTACTTCATTTCAATTTAATCCAATTCAATTCATTTCATTTTAATTCAATCCAAATCAATCCAGTTCATTTTAATTCTACACAATTCAATTTAATTCAATTAACTTCAATTCAATTTAATCCAATTCAATTCATTTCAAACCAGTTCATTTCAATTTAATCCAATTCAATTCAATCCAGTTCATTTCAATTTAATTCAATCCAATTCAATCCATTTCCATTTAATTAAATAAAATTCAATCCAATTCATTTCAATTCAATCCAATTCAATCATATTCAGTTCAAATCAATCCAATTCAATCCAATTCAGTTCAATTCAATCCAATACAATCCAATTTGATCCAATTCAAACCAATTCAATCCAATTCATTTCAATTAAAATCAATCAAATTTAATCCAGTTCAATTTAATTCTACCCAATTCAATTTAATTCAATTTACTTCAATTCAATTTAATCCAATTCAATTCATTTCAATCCAATTCATTTCAATTTAATCCAATTCAATTCAATCCAGTTCATTTAAATTTAATTCAATCAAATTCAATCCATTTCCATTTAATTCCATCCAATTCAATCAAATTCATTTCAATTCAATCCAATTCAGTTCAAATCAATCCAATTCAATCAAATGTAACCCAATTCAACCCAATTCAATCCAATTCAATTTAATTCAGTTCAATTCAATCCAATGGAGTTCAATTCAGTCAATTCAATTCAATCCAATTCAATTTAATTCAATTCAATTCAGTTCAATTCAATTCAATACAATCCAATTCAGTTGAATTCAGTTCAATTCAATCTAATTGAGTTCAAATCAATCCAATTCAATTCAATCCAATTCAGTTCAATTGAATCCAATTCAATCCAATTCAGTTCAATTCAATCCAATCCAATTAAGTTCAATCCAATTCAATTCAATTCAATTCAATTTAATTGAAATTGAAATTGAATTTGATTGAATTGGATTGAATTATATTGAATTGAATTGGATTGATTTAAATTGGATTGGATTAAATGGAATTGGATTGAATTAAATTGAATTGAATTGAACTAAGTTCTGGACCACCACTTTGATTTTCATGCTGAGAAAGTTGGAAATGAAATCCAAAACCACTTTCAATAAATCAAAAGAGACGGACAGAAAACACACAGATTTTGGGGTGGCACATCAATTGGTCCTAATGGTAACTCTGAGACAGTTTAGCCTGTGGTTATGAATCGCATTGCTCCTTTATTCATCTTTTGTTTAAAAAAAGACGTGTCCAAAGCACTTAACTCAAATTTAAGAAACACAAACATTTTAGAGAAATACATTTATATTATTAGAAAATTTATTTCATAATTTAATTTTTTGTTGAAATTAGCAATGTCTCTTTAGAGTTTGTATTTTCTATCCCATCACCGGAATCCAAACTAGGAACAAACTCTTACTACTGCAGGTCTTGCCGTCCAGATTTAGTACGTAGCCCTTGTTACACCTGCAGATGTAGGACGCTGGAACGCTGACACAGTTCTGCTCACAGCCGTGGTTTCCCAGGTCACAGTAGTCTATTCCTAAGGAGAGGGGTGCATTCATTAACAATGTCATATCTGTGGTACCATCAGTGCTGCAGCTGCTGCAGGATTAAACCATCATGAATGTAGCTGTTAGTGCCTCAATAACAGAACAAAAAACAACACAAGAGCTGGAAACCTTAGACCTAGCCATCAGATCTACTTGTTTTTTATGTGAAATACTATGATAGGCTGCAGATAATTCAGCATTTCAGCAGATGTTCTGCTGATTGCAATAGCACACATCCTTCAGGAAATCACCCCCTCTCCGCTTCCTGTTAACCACCAAAGGAGCCAAACAAAGTTTTTCCGACTGTGGGAGGACAGAACATCTCTAGGAGGGCTGCTGGAGATCCACTGAAGTTAACACAATGACAGAACTCAGAAACTCTGTTAAACATGGCTGAAAATCTCAAGTAGTGGTTCAGAATTAAAAATGTTATCACACATGAATCACTTGTGTTCTTAAAGTGACAGTGTGTCTTTTTCCTGGTGAAAGGGGGCAGTAGATACCTAAATCATTGCAAGCAGGCTGTATTTTGGTGTCGGAGTAAGACCTTACCAACGAATACCCATTAGGGTCAAAAAGCCCTGGGGAGTGCAAACTTTAGCAAAATAACAAGCACATTAGACTCCCTTTCATCAATGGTAACAAGTGAAGAGGTAAATGTGTAAAACAACATTTGAGAATGACGAAAGTTTTCTAACCGTTTGTTACAAATCAGTAAAAGTATTTGGTCTTCACGAGCTCCCGTAGAAGGAAACATGGCATCGCCCAGAGACTTAGACTCACTCCGTGTATTGTAGACCTGACTTTTATGGTTATATGTTTAAAAGCCTACAATATTTTTCAACAACTGGGCACCATTTAATTCATTTTCAACAACATTTTGATGGATGTTTCCAGAATTTATTTATTTATTTCCGTGTCCTGTCTGGCTGTGAAGCAAACAGAATTAATATCTGAATGCTAGTGACAAGCCTTACAGATTTACTCTCAGGCGGAGCATCAAAGCTTCTGGTTTTAATGTCACGCCTGATACTTAAAACTTTATTATTATTGTTTCTTTGAATGCTGGTAATTCGACCAGACACGGAGACAGAGGTGAAATAGAAAGGAAGAGATGGGGGGGGGGGGGGGGGTTCCACAAAAATAAACATTCAGTGATGAACAAGAGTCTGCTTCTAGACCTGCAAAAGGAGAAAGAAAAAAAGAGAAAAGGGACACAACAATACAGCAGGAGCAAGCTATCCCTGTGTCAACCTGATGAGGAAATATAAAATCAACATTGTTTTACTGAACAATCACGATAATAAGCATCAAGCCCACAGGTCTGCCCACAACCTCCCACCCCAAGTTGGCCGAGCCCCGAACCCACCAACCAGCACCCAGGGGCGACCAGCCCCGCCGGGGACCCAACAGAGCCCAGGGACTCAGATCCCACCAGGCAGCCACCGGGATTAATCAGGCAGATGTTAAAATTCTTAAACCCCATGACCCGGGAGCCGCAAACACTCAGGCAGACCAAGGCACCACACTCCACACCTAGTGTGGCAGGGGGAAGGGAGATGAAGATGTAAAGCAGCAAAAGAAGTCCCAGGAGAGGGGAGGAGTCAAAGGCCCCACCTGACATATACAGTCATACACAAGCACAGTCCCACACTCCCTCCCTCATGCTCACACATACACATACAACATAAGACGTACAAAGATGCACGCCAGACACCCAATCATACTCCCCATACACACCCTATTCACTCTGGTCCCGGTACTGCTGCACAAAAGGGACAACCATCACCGGTTCCCAGAGTTCGACCCTTTCTGCTGGGGTGCTTATGAGCAGGCTCCCCCGCCCAACGCCGAGCAAAGTGACCCACCACCCCAGACACAAGCCAGACAGCCAGATCCCCCTCCTAGCCTCCAGCCCCGGGAAGCCAAGTGACAACAGAGGTGTGCTAAGACCCCTAGTCTCCCTCTGCCTGCTCCAATACTGTGTTGGTGCATGTTGATTAGGTGTATTCGTGGCTGTGGTGAGCGGGCAGTGTAGGCATCGTCTGGCCTATGCCAGCTGATGCCACCACACCACCCCTCTTCCCCCCACAGCCCTCTGTGTCTAAGTGCAGTTTAAAATTGGAAGTGGGCACCGGCACTTGGAATGAGGCTGAAAGATCCCCTTGCCAAATGCCATTGAATGTGCTCACTCCCAAGGCCCTAAGTGTGTGTTTGCATGGAATATCGTTGGTGGAAATGTTTGATGTGCAAATAAAATTGGGGGGCAGGCTGCCACAGGAGGAGAAAAATGTGTGGGTATGGGAAGGAATGGCTGATTGGCATAAGCCCTCCAAGGAGCCAGCTCCCCCACTGGCCCCAATAGGCACCTCCGCAGCCCAAAAGCCGCCCAGGGCATAGAAACCCCAGCCCATCTTGCCAGGGCCCAAAGCAGCAGCATCGCAGAGCTCCACAGAGTCCGAGGGAACCAACGCAGGCCCACCCCAGCAGAATATCGACTCCCATCCCTGCATTTACACAGCTTCCAGAATATATAAGACATAGAGCTCCGGGAGTTGACGTCACGTTTCCCAGCATGCAACAGTTCAAATCGAAACAGCGCCATATTGGCATGCAAAAGCCGGCAGCTGGACTATTTGTTATTGTCAGGAAACTCAATCAAACGGGAAATATGGTAGATTCCTGTTGTGCCCCAGGATGCAGAACTGACACGGACGACATAAGGAATGAGCCATCTACAGGATTCCCCAAGATCCGGAGCGCCGCAAACGTTGGATCATTGTAATAAAACGCACTAGTGACCGGGCTGAAATGAAGCTGTGGGATCCCGAGAGTAAAGGTTTTCGCTTATGCAGCGACCACTTCATATCAGGTACTTAAACCAACGTTTCCTCAACTGTGTGTGGTATTTATTTTAAATGCTTTTATTACGATTCTTAGTGGGCTTCCTAAACTTATTTTGGCGTGGCTTTTTCTGTCTTATTACTCATAGCAACAAGTAAACATCACGTAAAATGTTGCCTCGTGAGTTCTGCGTGCTGCCGTTTACGTGTTTTATGATCACAGCAATTAACCGGCTAAGCTGTGTTTCATTTTTAAGCAATGGTTGATCAATTGTCAGATCACACATAAAAAGAACTTTGGATTGCTATTTCTGTCTCACCGAGACTACTTACGTGTAAATCTGTTATTTGTCCGTCCATCCATCCATTTTCATCCGCGTATCCGTCGGGTTGCGGGGGCAGTAGCGTGACTTCCTTCTCCCCAGCCGCTGGAGCCAGCTCCTCCGGGTAAATCCCAAGGGGTTCCCCGGTCAGGTCCGGTGTTGTGCCGGTCCGCTCCGACAGCTTCTGGCGTCGGAGCGGGCAGTAGAGTCGAGAGTCCCAGACCTTCTCCCCAGCTCCTCCGGCCGGGGGAATCCCAAGGGGTTTCCCCGGCCAGGTCCGGTGTTGTGCCGGTAAGAAGTCCGCTACGACAGCTTCTGGCGTTTTTAAAAAGTATCCCAGGGGCACGGTAAGGGTCGGAGATGTTTAGTCTATTTAATTTCTGACTATATAAAACGATTTCTTCTGTTTTAAAGTGTGAAGTAAACTCCGACGAAGTAAAATCCAAGCGGATCCCGTTCATGTTCATGGTTACATCCGTGTTTGTTTACCTTTTTTGCATGCCAAAATGGCGTCCACTAACTGAGAGTCACGTGGGGTCCGGAGCTCTATAGGACATCCAGGTAAGGTTGGGTCCTCCCCCTCCTGGACATACCCCTCCCCTGTGATGGGGCAGCAGAGGAGCCAATGTCTTCCCGAGGCCCCTGAGCCCGGGCCAGGCACAGCCGCATGTTCCCGCCTTCTTCCCAGCAGCATACATATCATACAAAGCAAAAGAAGTCCCAGGAGAGGGGAGAAGTCAAAGGCCCCACCTGACATATACAATCATACACAAGCACAGTCCCACACTCCCTCCCTCATGCTCACACATACACATACAACATAAGACGTGCAAAAATGCACGCCAGACACCCACTCATACTCCCCATACACACCCTATTCACTCTGGTCACTACTGCTGCACAAAGGGGACAACCATCACCAGTTCCCAGAGTACGACCCTTTCTGCTGGGGTGCTTATGAGCAGGCTCCCCCGCCCAACGCCGAGCAAAGTGACCCACCACCCCAGACCCCAGCCAGACAGCCAGATCTCCCTCCTATCCTCCAGCCCCGGGAAGCCAAGCGACAACAGAGGTGTGCTAAGACCCCTAGTCTCCCTCTGCCTGCTCCAATACTGTGTTGGTGCATGTTTATTAGGTGTATTTGTGGCTGTGGTGAGCGGGCAGTGTAGGCATCGTCTGGCCTATGCCAGCTGATGCCACCACACCACCCCTCTTCCCCCCACAGCCCTCTGTGTCTAAGTGCAGTTTAAAATTGGAAGTGGGCACCGGCACTTGGAATGAGGCTGAAAGATCCCCTTGCCAAATGCCATTGAATGTGCTCACTCCCAAGGCCCTAAGTGTGTGTTTGCATGGAATATCGTTGGTGGAAATGTTTGATGTGCAAATAAAATTGGGGGGCAGGCTGTCACAGGAGGAGAAAAATGTGTGGGGATGGAAAGGAATGGCTGATTGGCATAAGCCCTCCAAGGAGCCAGCTCCCCAACTGGCCCCAATAGGCACCTCCGCAGCCAAAAAGCTGCCCAGGGCATAGAAACCCCAGCCCATCTTGCCAGGGCCCAAAGCAGCAGTATCGCAGAGCTCCACAGAGTCCGAGGGAACCAACGCAGCCCCACCCCAGCAGAATATCTACTCCCATCCCTGCATTTGCACAGCTTCCAGAATATAAGACATAGGACATCCAGGTAAGGTTGGGTCCTCCCCCTCCTGGACATACCCCTCCCCTGTGATGGGGCAGCAGAGGAGCCAATGTCTTCCCGAGGCCCCTGAGCCCGGGCCAGGCACAGCCGCATGTTCCCGCCTTCTTCCCAGCAGCATACATGTCAGGAACCGACCCCCAAGACCCCACCCAGATCCCCACACGGGGCCAGCCACCCCCACACCCCGTTTCCAGAAATTAAAAACTACACACTGTCTCTTCAATGTGTACCCTTAGGTGCATGGCTCTGTCCCAATGAATGCAGGACCCTCCAGAAACATGAGGGAGCCAAATGGTCATTTAGCAAGTACTTTATTTAAGGAAAAATAAAAAATGGAAGGCCTTGAACTGGTCATATACATTCTTAATAAACATACACAAACAGGCTAAATCATCAAGGACATCATTTTGCCAGAACGTCAGAAAAGGTTTGCTTTAATTACTGTTGCATGTCTTCTGGTCTACGGTGAGCTCATATCCTGGATGGCAGTGGCACTCGTATCCATCAGGCAGGTTAACACAGATATGGCCACATCCATGATCCACCACAGCACACGTGTCATCAGCTGTAAAGGAGCAACATGGAGGTAAATCATCTCCTGCAATGGGTTTTAATACCATAGCAAGGAATGCCTTTGGCTTCACTGACTTGTCTTTAGCAGCTGTTAGATTGAACCAAATATTGAAGGGAAGGAAATACAAAGAAAACCTTTAAATACAATCCAAATAAAGTTAGATGAGGATTTTTTGATCATAAATAGCAGAAGAATGAATGGAACCAAATGGTTGTTTCTGAGAAGGTGACAGTGTTTTGTGAACGCTGCATGTAGCCAGGTAGACTCACCTTTACACGTCTTGCCGTCAGAGTTTAGGGTGAAGCCTTTTTTGCACTTGCATCTGAATGAGGCGGGGCTGCTCACACAGATGTGCTGGCACTGATGGTCCACCACTTCACACATCTCTGATCCTACAGCAACAACATTCACAAAGACTCAAGGACAAGATTCTGAAAGCACAAGAACACAGACGGCAGCAGGAGAGCTTCATCACCTCCACACAGAGCGGACCGGAACACAGAAATCAGGGTTTCTATCTGACTGAAGTTGGCCACCAGGTGGACGTGCTCAGAGTGAGGCTCACTACCGATGGCCTTCAAAGTCTTCATGTCCACCCTGCCTACTCCGATAGCAAAAATCTGGATCCCTGCTTGCCTCGCTGCAGCTGCAACCTCCTCTACTGTGTCCTGAGGTCTACCATCAGTCACAATCATGGCGATGCGTGGAATGTGCAGGTGGACGGCTCGGGCTCCCTGTTTCTTAGTGAAGGCTACCTCCATGGTGTACTGGATTGCCAGGCCAGTCATGGTCCCCGTGGCAAGATGCTTCATGTCCCTCACAGCCTGTTCCACCTGTGCCCTGGAGTTATAGGTGTTGAGGGAGAATTCAGGCTCCACCACACTGCCATACTGGAGCAGACCCACTCGTGTTGAATTGTGGCCAATGTCAAGAAACTGAAGTATTTGGATGATGAATGTCTTAACCTTCTCGTAGTCGTTGGGGCGAATGCTTCTAGAACTGTCGATCACAAAGACAAAATCCAGAGGGGTGGCTTCACATGGATTCTCTGGAATCAGGAGGAGGTTGGCAATTAGTTATGGCACAAAAGGACAAATCAGATTGGGACAACCCTTTTGTTACCACTCAGCCTCTTACCTCCAGTGCTGCTTTGGACTGCTGAGACATTTTGACCTTTGAATGTGACGAGTCGGTCCAGCCGCCCAGCGTTGCAGGTCAACATGCCGAGGAGGAAGAGAATCAGAGATCTCATTCTGATGGGAGGTGACAGCAGCAGATCAATTACATCTCATATTTAATTGTTGTACATTATGCCATTATTCCAGTATAGTATGTCACTTCTTTTCTGATTGTTTTTTAAATCATTTTTTTGTCCTTTAAAGTATCCATCCATCCCTTTTCTTCAACTTATCCAGAATCAGGTTGTGGCAGCAGCAGCCTAAGCAGGGGGGCCCAGACGTCCCTCTCCCCAGCCACTTTAGCTAGCGTGCGTGAGTGCGCATGTGTGTGTGTGTGTGTGTGTGTGTGTGTGTGTGTGTGTGTGTGTGTGTGTGTGTGTGTGTTTGTGTGTGTGCATGCGTGTGTGTGCATGCGTGTGTGTGTGTGTTTGTGCATGCATGTGCATGTGTGTGTGTGTGTGTGTGTGTGTGTGTGTGTGTGTGTGTGTGTGTGTGTGTGTGTGTGTGTGTGTGCTTGCATGTGCATGTGTTTGTGTGTGTGTGTTGATAATTGCTGTTTTACTGTCTCTAAAAGTCCAACAAAGAACCAGGGGCCTCATTTATCAAACTGCGTAAGCAACTTTCCATGCAAACGTTGGGATTTATGAAAGAAAACTTTGCAGAAAAATGTGCACAACTTTAAGTTGAATAAGGACCTGGCTTACACACATGTTGGACATGGAGAGCACCTGCAGTGCTGCTGCTGAGAAGGATACAATTATGAAATCCTGCAGCATTATCACTTGTACCGCTTCGTTTTCACACAGAACAAGACCCCCACACGCGCGCACACACACTCACACACACAGCCTGAAGGGCAGAATACGGAATGCAGAATATCAGCAGGAGGACAGATTGAGACCGAATGTCATGTGTCTGTGACAGTGTGTGTCCTGTCACTGTGACCCGAGTGATCATGTGCTCATGGCTACTTGGACAAGGGAGATCTCCGTTTGGCTGACTGGTTAGCGTGCGCGACTTTCACTCAGGAGTCTGCGGATCCAATCCTGATGGATCTTTTTTTATATCCGCCACAAATCTCTCTGAAGAATTCAGCATTGACGGCTTCAGCAACACTACCACTCCTTGGATTTTCTCTTATTTGTTTTGTGCGTAAGCAAGCTTGATAAATGAGGCCCCAGGTCTCCAAATTAGCCTCGGGCTAAAAGACCTCTGTACAGAACAATGGTTGCGTTGTCCCGGTCCTTACACGTGACATTGTGTTTGTGCTGTCCTTGTTCAATAAACCCAAACTCCAACTATAAACAACCTGCACAGATGTGTACATAGTAGCTGCTGACCCCAGACCAGCAGAGGTCACAGAGCCACACTGAAGGGTTGACCTTTGAACTCACATCTGTTTGTCTGACAGCCTTTCCATCACCTAATTCAATTAGAACAGAATCATGTGAGACAGTTTAATGTAAGACTTGTTATGGTTTAACACACACTGTCGTGCCTCAACAGGTATTAATACCAACAGATCTGTGGTACTATTTACAACAAGGCTTTCCTTTATAAATGACTAACAAATAATTTATAGATTTGCTCTTAATATATCTGTTACACTTTCTAAATCATTAATAAATGTTTATGAGGTATTATTAAAGGTTAGACAGAGACTAAACAGATCTGTTAACCTATATATTTAATGTAGAGTTGCAATAATAAATATTTCAGACTAATTCATAATCTTGTGAGTACAATGAGCCTTTGGAAACATACTTTAGCATATAGCATTATGATTTATGGCAGTATTATAAATATTCACAGTTGTTAAAAGGAACCTTACAGTAAAGTGTGAAACTATTTATTTAGCTTTGTTAACATTTAGAGTTACTGTGAAGGGGTTCCATCTAGTTTTAGTTCACGTTACAATCATGCTCAGTAACACTTTTCCTGTTTCTAGGAAGGCTCGGTCTTCCTGTTAATAATGTTTGTTCAGAAATAAATAGTGGCGTGTTCCACGCTCTACCAGAAGGCTCCTCTTTGGCATTCAGAAATGTTTATCAAGCATAATAAATATTTAGGAGGTATAAGAAATTAATCGTCTTTTGCACATTTTAGCAAGTCTCTCAATCGTAGCCGTCAATACTTCTCATTTAGAAACCGATTACAATATTAATCCCTATAAATCATGTTTCCAGAGGCTCATGATGGAAAAGACAGCCAAAGTTAGAGCTAGGAGACTAACAGGGAGTGGGGTTAGCCATTTATAAGCATAGCCTAGTAGTGGTACCAGATTTTAATTGACACAGTTAACTGCTGTAAACTATTAGCTTTTCTATGAGTTGGTGTTATTTCTGTTTCCTTGTACTTGATAGCTCTTCATGTCTCAGATTAAGAAAGTCCAGTCATTGCCAGTCTCCAATAGGTAACTGAAAACCTCCACTGATGAGATGTTTAACTGAAATATGTACTCACCTTCTTAGAAGCATGGAACAGAAGTTTCAGTCAAAATTCCCAAAGTGAATCAGACGACAAGCTGCGTTCAGTCCATTTGCGTCCCATAAACCCAGACTTGTGTCTGTCTGCTTGGCTCAGCCCTTTTCTCCATCTGCTCCATCCCTCTGTTTACACCCCCTTCCAGTCCCATGTGGAGTTTCATGAAGTCAAAGAAATGACTCAGATGCATCCAGTTTATTCAAATATAAAACCTGTGTCGCATTATTTTTGCCAGCTTCACTTTTATTATTAATGATGGGGATCAGATCACAGTTGATGTTAGTTAACATTATTTTAAATGTTTTATGTCAAATCCTAACAATTTGGCAGTCTTGTGTGAGCAGAAATCTGCAGGCAGCAGCAGCCTGTGTGAATGGCAGTCCGTCTACAGAAACCAAACCTCCGTACAACATTCGGAGTAAAAACAAGCTTCAGCAGTGACTCTCAGACAACATCCCAAATATTAGACTTGAATCTGTAAAATTGGCATATTCAGGCATCTGTGTTTCAGTGTGCTATGGTGTCCATATTATAAAGAGCCAACCATCCATCCATCCATTTTCAGTCACTTATCCAGAGTCGAGTTGTGGGGACAGCAGCCTAAGCTGAGAGGCCCAGACTACCGTCTCCCCAGCCACTTGGGCCAGCTCCTCTGGAGGAATCCTAAGGAGTTCTCTGGCCAGGTGAATAGTCCCTCAAGCATGTCCTGGGTCTTCCTTTATGTCTTCCCCTGGTTAGACGTTACCTCACCAGGGAGGGAGGAAAACCTCACCAGGGAGGGAGGGAGAGAGAGAGAGAGAGAGAGAGAGAGAGAGAGAGAGAGAGAGAGAGAGAGAGAGAGAGAGAGAGAGAGAGAGAAAGAAAGAAAGAAAGAAAGAAAGAAAGAAAGAAAGAAAGAAAGAAAGAAAGAAAAACAATATTTTACAAAGTGCCTCTCAAGTTAAAATTTACGAGGAGCTTCACAAAAGCAACAGTTAGAATATAAAAAATACATATTTTTTTAATTTTATGAGAAAAAAATATTGTGATTAAAAATGAAAGGAAAGAGAGAAAGAAAATTAATAAGAAAGAGGGAAACCAGTGGATCCCAGGAATAGTGGAACTAGAGCAGAACAAGAAGAGGGTGGAGATGAAGGTCCCACCAAAGACTGAACAGGCGAGTTTAAAGGAGACCACTAAGTCCACTGATCTCAGGCTCAGGGGGAGAGAGGTCCAGCATCTTGGGGGCCACAGCAGCAGATGATCTGTCACCTTTAGTCTTTAGCCTGGTGCTGCACAACCAGTAGGCTTTGGTCACTGGACCTCAGGGACCTGCTGGGGGTGAAGGGACTGAGAAGATCACCAATGTATGATGGTGCTTGTCCATGTAACGCCGGGGACGCACTGGCCGCGGAAGCGCTGCGAAAATGGGACCGCCTTCATTCGGCGCCCTTGTTAAGCTATTCTATAGACTACATGGGCTGCCGAAGCGCCGCGAATCGCCTCGCGCCGGCGCTCCAGCCCGCGCCGTGCAGCGATCATTTCGGCGTCTGCTCTATTTTTTTTGTGAGCCGCGGGTGAATCGCGTCAATTCTGGCAGGAAGTCAAACCTAGACATAAGAGGCAGGCCGGTAAAGTTAACAAAATAAGGCATTTCAAAATAAAATTCCGCAATTGTCAAATGTGTTCATAATCAGACACTGCAGAAAAACCACATGAACACACATACATACACACACATCGAACTTGTGTGCGTGTGTGACCACGTGAAGGGGGGAGTGGTTTTGGGTGTCTTTTCACCGGAGCAAACAGGACAGAGAGGCAGAAAGTCTGAGGCAAGCAGTTAAGATGGATGACTTTAAATTAATTATGGAAGTTGAGAAACACAAGGAGCTGTACGACCCCCAAAAATATGGTTATTTACGTACCCATGTCGGAAGAAACTGCTCGGATACAGCTGCAGAATTGGAGCGGGTTCCAAGAGATTCAACTGGCAGAAACAACTCATACCATAGGTTCACACACACACACACACACACACACACACACACACACACACACACACACACACACACACTTAAACGTAGAGTAAAAGAGCTGAGAAAAGGCAGAGAGGAAATGGAGGACACCAAATGTTTAAAAGAAAAACTACAGCTGAGCCGAGGCACGCCTCGACTGGGGCGCGTCTGATCTGAACTGAGGAGCGGCGAGCAGTGGCCGAATTTCGTGAGCGATTCGCTTCTCGGCGCTTCGCCGCACTTCCGCGGCCGGTGTGTCCCCGGCGTAAGGCCCTATAGACCAGAACCAGGATCTAATAGCAAGACTCTACAGGCGTTAAGTCCCAGGGAGGTGTTTATCCAATTTGGGCTGGTCTGACTCTCAGACACGTGAAAAGAGTTACAGTAGTCTAAGCATGAGGAGATGAAGGTGTGGAGAACTGTCTCAAGTTCAGAGCGGGACAGAATGGGACTCAGCTTAGCAATGTTCCTGAGATGGAAGAAGGAAGAGCGAACAAGAGAACTGACATGAGAATCCAGGGTGAGAGCTGGGTCAAAGGTCACACCAAGATTCCTGATGGAAGGTTTGGTGTGAGAAGCAAGCTGAGAGTCTCTAACTTTGGGAACCAGCAGATGAGGATCTCAGTCTGATCTTCATTCAGCTGAAGAAAGCTCCCAGCCATCCAGGTTTTGATAGAGTCTAAGCAGGTGTGGAACACCTGCAGCTTAGACATCTCATGGGGCTTAAAGGAGATGTACAGTTGGATGTCATCTGCATAAAGATGGTAGGAGATTCCTTTGAAGGAGCTCAGGATGTGCTGAAGAGGATGCAGATAGAGGAGGAAGAGCAGAGACCCCAGCACAGAACCTTGTGGCACACCATGGGTGAGGGAGGTGGTGGAGGGCCTAAACTTGGAGACGGTCACAGAGAAGGAATGCTCAGACAGATAAGAGGAGAACCACTCCAGAGCAGTTCCTGATAGGCCTACCCAGTCTCTCAGCCTCTCTAGTAGCAGGTGATGGTCAACAGTGTCAAAGGCTGCAGTCAGGTCCAACAGGACCAGAACAGAACAGTCCCCTGCATCACTGTGAGTCAGAAGGTCATCAGAGAACCTAAGAAGAGCTGTTTTAGTAGAATGAGCTCTACGAAAACCTGACTGGAAGCAATCATAGATGTCATGTTCATCAAGAGCAGCTGTGAGTTGTTCAGCCACAACCTTTTCCAAGATCTTGGAGATGAACTGAAGTTTAGAGATGGGTCTGAAGCTGACTCGGGTGGATTGCAGCGTTCTTAAAGTAAGCAGGGACCTGGGTGGAGGGTAAGTTGTTGAAGGGGCATGCAGAGGTCTTCATAGCGTTAACTAGTTTGGTTAACTCAGGCAAAGAAACAGGAGCAAAGCTATCTAGGATGACAGGCCTGGTTGGAGTCGGGAGAGGCGGCGATAAGGCTGAGGAAGAGATGCTAGATCTGACCTTGTTGATTTTGTCCACAAAGAAAGACAGAAAGTTCTCACAGTCTGCAACAGAGTGGATGGAGGCTGTAGGAGAGGCAGGAGAGACAATGCTGCTGATGGTGTTAAACAGCACCTTGGGGTTCCCTTTGCTCTGGGACACCAGGTTGGAGAAATAGGAAACCCTCATGTATCTGACTGTGTCTAGAAGCTGTCCAAATCAGATGCCAGAGCCACCTCAACTGGCTCCTCTCGATGTGGAGGAGCAGCGGGTCTACTACGAGCCCCTCCCAGATGACAGTGCTTTTTACCCAATCTCTAAGGGAGAGCTCAGCCACCCTGTGGAGAAAACTAATTTCTGCCGCTTGTATCCTTGATCTCGTTCTTTTGGTCCCTACCCAAAGCTCGTGGCCATAAGTGAGGGTAGGAACGTAGATCGAACAGACCGGTAAATCGAGAGCTTTGCCTTCTGACTCAGCTCTCTCTTCACCACGACAGATCGGTACTACGCCCACATCACTGCAGACTCAGCACCAATCCGCCTATTGATCTCACGCTCCAGTTTTCCCTCACTCGTGAACAAGACCCCAAGGTTCTTAAACTCCTCCTCTTGAGGCAGGACCTCATCCCTGACCTGGAGAAGGTGTTCTACCCTTTTCTGACTCATGAACATGGTCTCAGATTTAGAGGAGCTGATTCTCATCCCAGCTGTTTCACACTCGACTGCGAACCGCTGCAGCAAAAGCTGGAGATCACGTTCTGATGAAGCCAACAGGTCCACATCAGAGACATAATAAGATACCTTTCGTCAAACATTTTGACAGGTCTATTGTTCTTTGACCTTTTTGACCTTTCAGTCCTATTGTTCATTTTGACCCCTGACCTTGCCCCCCTTTCCTATCATTAATCAAATGGACAGGTGTATTGTTCAATCTTTGCCCCCCCCCCTTACGTATCATTAATCAAATGGACATGTGTATTGTTGATCGTCCAGATGGCCTAGACCCCCCACGCCGCATCATCAATGGCGTATTGTTGAGCGTCCAGATGTCCATGATCCCCCACGTCATAGGCTAATGTGTGTAATGGCGCGTGAAGTTTCTTATTGTGTTACCCCAGCGGTTCCCACAGCCCCCTCCCTTCTGAGTGTAATCCTATAGTGGATAACTCTTTAAAAGCTCAGATCTGTCCGAATGGTGAAAAGCCAAGCTCTAAGAAAAAATGATGAACCACGAGGAGATGCATGAAGCACCAAGCCACGAGGAAGAGGAATGTCTTACCTCTCAGATATGTTCATCACCTAAATTCAACACACAGAAAGTTTTGTCATCTAAATTGTACTGCAAAATGCAGAGAAGCAAGAAAAAGAAGGCCAGCCTCACCAGTGAGCAGAACCACATCAGTCTGACGCTGCAGCCATTATAATGCATTTACCAGCCCTTACTGGCACACCATATCAGTCTAAACTCATGGACTTTTTATATCAAACATGACATGGCTCACTGACAGTGGATGAGTGCGGCCTAACTGTTGTGAATGACAGCCCCACACGCTGGTCAAGTACTTATGAAATGGTTGCAGGTCTCCTCAAAGTTAAAGAATCTGACTGTAGAATGGGGTGGGTCTGCTTGCTTGCTCTCGAGACTCAGCCATCTGGCAGATGTTCACAAAGTGCTTTTCTCCCAAATATTAGATATTTGGATTTTGTATGTTCAGTCTTAAACTTTGTGTTTAAATGTGTAAATATTTACATGCAGCTCACTGACACTTTTTGACCAGAACTAAAACTATTGTGTAAAACTCTGTCCAGCAGCACATCAAATTAATGGCTGTAAGCACACACACACACACACACACACACACACACTTCTCTAAGAAGTAAAAGGATTACATTCAAACATTTGTCTTTGACTAAACCATTCAAACATTTCTCTCACTTCAGAAAAGCAATGGTTTGCCATCCTAAACCATTTATGGTTCTATTGTAAAGCACCCTGCATACTCAAGCCTATAAGAATAAAAGTTGATCCTTACCTCAGCGTGACGCTTTTAGTCGACAACTCACAAAGCAAATGACTCTGTATTGTTCTGCAGGTGGGTTTGTTTGAAAGAGTGCCAGGAAGTTGGTTCAACAAAGATCTGTTGAGCTTTCTTAAAGCTCATTCTAAACAATTTTGCACGGCCAGCGACTTCTGACAAAGCAATTGACTTCCTTTTTTTTTGCAGGTGGCGGGAAAGTTTTAAAACAAAGAACTGGCTGAACCAAGTCGTCACGGAAACAACACGCAAAAGCAAATTACTTACTTTTTTGCAGGTGGGCTGAATTGAAAGAGTGGCGGGGAAGTTGGTGAACAAAGATCTGGTTCATTCTAACCAAGTCGGCATGGAAACAATTCACAAAAGCAAATGACTTGCTATTGTTTCAAAGAGCTATTTAGGTGAACAGCATCTTTGGTTCGTCATCATCAGCAGTGAAAGCTTAACCATCGCCTCCTGCCTTTAGTGTCACATTTTGTGACTTTTTGTTTTCACTGTCACACACACACACACACACACACACACACACACACACACACACACACACACACACACACACACACACACACACACACATTGCTTCCTGCCTCAGAGAAAAGATTTGATCCTTTTTGTAGGACCTATAACAGCTGAAATAAATAAAAAAGCTGTTTATGAGGTTTGTTTTTTGGGAGGGGTGGATTAGTAAAGTCTCAGAGCAGACATACCTCTGGTCAAACCTTTAATGTCATACCTCTCAGAATAGTTAAACTAAGGCACATGCATGTCGTAAACGGATTTACACACGAGTGAAGGAGCTGCTACATTTTATCCATTATTAAGGAAACATGAGCGAAGAAGAAGAAGAACCGATGGATACATGTTTTGAATATAGCCTTCCTCTGCTAAAAACAACGTTCGAATTGAGACATGATGAGATTGGCTTGACAACGCAACAGATTTTTCATAAGCGATTTCAGGAAGAAATGTCCGGTACAAAACCGGTCCGGTATTATTTTTTGGATCGTAAAGGTTTTTTATTTATGCTCTGGGGAGTTTTGAAGAAGAATCAAGGGATACGAGTTAAACACACACACACACACACACACACACACACACACACACACACACACACACACACACACACACACACACACACACAACTCTAAACACCCATTCAGACATTTGTCTACCTATACAACAAAGCAAATGACTATGTATTGTTTATAAACATTTTTTTTCGACCAATCGCAACCGTTTTCTATTCAAGATTTTTTTAAACAGCTGTATAAAATGTAAAACCGCATTTTCGGAGTCGTGATTTGAGGTGTAACAAGCTAAGATGACGGGTAAGTTTTTAACTTAAGACACAAATCTTTTTTCTCTTTCTGGTTTAACATCTTTATTTTCAGACGCTATTGTCATATCGGACGGCGAGTGGGAAGAAATTCCTATTGAGGAATTAACTTGTAAAACTCCGGTCCCCCTCGATGATTTGTCTAAAATTAATCGTGCGGTCGACAATCTGAGTGAGTGGATTTTATAAATATATACGTAACGTTCTTTTCTTCAGCTGAGAAATATCTCATTTTACAGAAAAGGAGGGGGTTCAACCTTACCCCGGAAGTGATAACTTTTACCCAACCACGCCTCCATCCACCAGCCGAACCGTCTTACATTCGTATCAGCCCAGCCAGACCGTCAGATCACACGCGAACGCGAAAGCTGTTCGTTACAGGACTATCACACCACAGACGATCCTCGAAGCTGGTAAGTGATTACAAAATAGCGATTAATAAGTCAGAGATGTGTCGTTCATATTTATCGTTTTTATTCTCCAGAGCAACGGCCGACGGCCTACGCACCCCCAATATCTCAGCCCCCACCACCTCCAACCCCTTCTCATGCGCAGACGGATGGTAACGATAAAAAAACAACTGATTAATAAGTCAAAGATGACTCGTTCACATTTAACGTTGTTTTTTATCCTTTCAGAACAACATCCGACAGCCGCTTCAATATCTCTGCCCACACCTCCTCCTCCTCCTCCTCCTCCTCCCCCTTCTCCTGCACAGGGTAAGAGATATATAAAAAGGTGGTTATTTACTTCAAAGATGATTCGTTCATATTTTTCATTATTTTTATTCTTTCAGAACAATCCGACAGCGACTCTGAAACCGCTGAACGTGCTCCTGAGCAGCCAGCCGGTAAGCTGTTTCACAAAAAGCTCCGCAGAGTATATTAAATTTTTGAAGTAAAAAAGATGATGTTTTTTATCCTTTCAGAACAACCCACGACCGACGAAGAGAACGCCCCACCTCCTGCACCTGTACAGAGTAAGTTAAATTTATATATATAATTTATTAAAAGCTCGTTCATTTTATTTATTTTTATTTATTTTTTCATCAGAAAAACGGTTGAAGAAGAAGAAGCGGGGCAGATTTACGCCACTTCAGAGATTAAACAGGATGAAGCTTGGGTACCTGCTCCTGCAAGTGAATTCCGGCCTGGTGGAAGTGGTCCAGCAAGTGCTCACTTTGTAAGGAGGACGCAGATTTTTTTTCTTCATTTTTAATGTCTTTTGTATCATGAGTGAAAATTGGTTTGATGACCTTTCAGATTTGTTTGAAGTAGATGATGAATTAAACGTAGTTGATGATGAATTAAACGTAGTTGATGATGAATTGTGTCAGCCAAAATCCCTCAGAGGAGGCCGATAATTTGGTGTTAACTGACTGGTTTGATGTAAGCGGACTGAGTGAAGTAGATGAATTAGCTTCAGATAGTGAGATCTTAGACGATATTTTAGCATCCCAAGCCGTTTCAAACGAGGTCGATCAAATTCTAGCAAATTCAGATTCGCCTTCATCAGAAGCAATAAACGAAATTTTCAGACAAATAGAACACCAGCAGCGCGTAAACGAGATCGATCAAATACTAGCAAATTCAGATGACCCATCTCCACAAGCTGTGGATGAAATTTTGAGACAAATAGAACACCAGCAGCGCGTAAACGAGATCGATCAAATACTGGCAAATTCAGATGACCCATCTCCACAAGCTGTAGATGAAATTTTGAGACAAATAGAACACCGGCAGATCGGAGGGAGCGTAAACGCAGCTTTTAACCAGCGTGAAATTAGAGAGAGAGTGTCTTTTCAAGCAATCAACGACCCAGCCGAGTTTTATATTAATCTGATGGAAATATTAAACAGGTTTGCTGAAAGAGGAAGCCAGATCGCGCGTCCCAACGATAGAGTCCAGTTTGAAATTAATACTTTGCACACGACGCACCACGTTAATTTTAATTATGACGGATCAAATATGTTAAATCAGCTTCAGTATTTACTGGATCTGTTAGTCCAATCAAATGAAGCATTAGAGGCCGACAACGAATTTAATTTCAGACTGCAGGTGACAAATAAACCTTCCGGTGGCGGGAAACGAAAAATCGAAACCATTCTGGATCACGAATTAGTCAATAAAAAACGAAACCATCTCATTTGCCCTCCAGAGGCCAATCAGCCGTTGTGTTTTGCGCTAAGCATAGCCGGACTGTTAAATCCCTCAGCGAGAGATACAGAATTATTGAATGTGGCTAAAAATATTCATCAACAGGCAGGGCTTCAGGAGCAATCAACCGTTTCATTTAGCGACGTGATTCGATTTGAAAATATTGTTCAAAGAAAAATAATCATTTTTTACAGATCCGACAGAATCATTTCTAAATTTGAAACAGATTTTAGCGATCGGTCAAATCCGTTGTTCATTTTGCTACTGAATCAACATTATTACGGCATAAAAAATATTAAAGGTTTCTTAGGAGCCAAATATTTTTGTTCATGGTGCTTTTCTCCTTATAATAACATGAACGGACATCATTGTAAATGGTTCTGTCGCGTGTGTAATACCGATTTATGCAAACGAACAGAAACGTCTCTCATCACATGTTCTGATTGTAATCGAATATGCCAAAATGTAATATGTTTTCAAACTCACAAAACACCTGTTTTAAGGCCTCAAGCAAACAGGTTAGTTTCTCCTTGCGAAATGTTTAAGAAATGCACCATTTGTAAACAAACTTATTACATCGCCATGGGTGGAAATGGTTCACAGCACGTTTGCTCAGCGACCAAATGCATCGTTTGCAAACAGTCGGTGGTCACGGATGATCATCGCTGTTTTATTCAGCTTGAAAAAGAAGATGACGGTTTAACGGAAAAGGTTATTTATTACGACACTGAAACGTTTACGGATCAGAACGGTGTGCATACACCTTTTTTAATCTGTGCAAAATCCGATTCAGGCGACGTTTGGGAGAAATTTGGTTTAGATTGCATTAAAGATTTTATTATGCAGATGCGTCATCCTAAATTCAGCAATTATACATTTATTGCACACAATGCGCGTGGATTTGATGCTTATATAATTTTGAGAGCTATGTGTCAATTAAAAATTGTTCCCAAAAATATACTCATGCAAGGCTGTAAAATCCTGAGTTTTCACGATCCAGACTTCGGGCTGAGATTCATAGACTCCTTAAGTTTTCTCATGATGAAATTAGCCAACCTTCCAGCTGCTTTGGGCTTTACAGATAAAACTAAAGGTTATTTTCCTCACAGATTTTCATCGCTTGAACATCTGAATTATAAAGGACCTTATCCAGATGTCAGCCATTATGGGTTTGAACAAATGTCTCCGGAGCATAAAAAAATATTTTTAGAATGGTACACCGATGTGTCTAAACAGCAGCTGTTTGATTTCAGAAAGGAGGCCGTGTTTTATTGTAGAAACGATGTGGAAATTCTGCGTAAAGCATGCGGTATTTTCAGAGAGGAGTTTTTTAATGAAACAGGTATCGACCCGCTGAAATCTGTCACGATCGCTTCAGCTTGCATGCGCGTGTTTAGATCAAAATTCCTAAAACCAGACACATTGGCCATTCCTTGTCCGCTCGGCTATCGACCGCAACAAAAACCATTTTCAAGTTCAAGCATCGTGTGGCTGGAATGGGTTTCACGCAGTCAAAATGTAGACATTCAACACGCTTTAACACCTTTGGGGGAGTATAAAGTGGGAGATTTTTATCTCGACGGATATGCTGTGATTTCAGGCGTCGAACAAGGGTTTGAGTATATGGGTTGTTTTTTCCACGGCTGTCCAAAATGTTTCTTACAGTCATCCATCTGTCCTCTGAGAAAAATCACTTTTGGTGAAATTTATGACAAAACCGTCGAAAAGCTTCAGTCGTTGGAAACTGTGCATCGATTAAAAATGAATGTCATTTGGGAACATGATTGGCAGGAGATGGTAAAAACTGATCCGGACGTGAAACAGTTTGTCTCAAGATTTGACCCACCGCCAGCTCCTCTCTCACCTCGTGAAGCCCTGTATGGAGGCAGAACTTGTCCGGTTCGGCTGAGGCATTCGGCTCAGAGCGGTGAAAAAATCCACTATGTGGATTTTACGAGTCTGTACCCTTATGTAAACGCCACACAGACTTATCCCATAGGCCATCCCAAAATTAATGTTAAAAATTTCAGAGATCCAAGTCACTATTTTGGCTTGATTAAAGCTGTCGTTTTGCCACCCAGAAAACTGTTTTTCCCTGTTCTGCCTTTTAAAACATCCAAAGGTAAACTTGTTTTTACACTATGTCGTACATGCGCTGAAATGAATAATCAATCTGATTCTTGTTCACACAGCGCGTCTCAACGTGCTTTGATGGGCGTTTGGGTGAGTGTAGAGTTCAATTACGCTTTGGAGTCAGGTTACCGTCTGGTGAAAATGATTGAAGTCTGGGATTTTGAGAAAAGCAGTAAAGATGTGTTTGCAGGTTACATTAACACGTTTCTCAAACAAAAACAGCAAGCGTCTGGTTTTCCTGAAGGATTGATTGACGATGAGTCGAAAAGAAAATACATTCAGGACTACGAGCTTCATCAGGGAATACAATTAGATGAGATTCAACACAATCCTGCTAAGCGTGCCATTTCAAAATTATGTCTCAATTCACTCTGGGGAAAGTTTGGCCAAAGAGATGATCTTGTACAAACCACATTTGTTCAAAAACCTGATGAATTTTTTGACATTCTGTTTTCAGGGAAATACAAAGTTAAATTCTTCAGCTTTGTCACTTCAGGAGCCGTTCTGGTGCAGCACAGTTTGACAGAAAAATGCCTAACGACTCCTGGCAGAAGCAACAACATATTTATAGCCGCTTTCACCACAACTTATGCCAGATTGAAATTATTAAATGCGTTGAACAAACTGGGAAATCGCGTCATTTATTACGATACAGATTCTATAATTTATTCTGTCAAAGAGAATGAGTGTGTTTTACCAACAGGACCGCTGCTGGGGGATTTAACCGATGAACTGCACGGCGATTCCATCACGGAATTTGTTTCAGCCGGTCCAAAAACGTATGCTTACAAAACCCGGGACCGCCAGCAGGTGGTGATAAAGGCTAAGGGTATCACACAGTCATTCATTTCATCTGATCACATCAATTTTGACAGCTTAGCGCTGCTGGTTGAGGGGTACGTCGCTGGAGAAAGGGGAAGAATTTTGCAAACTCGGCAGGAGATCGTCAAGAGGGATAAAAAAGGCCTCACTCTCTCGAATGTTTCATTTGTGAAAAGGTTTCGTGTGATTTTTGAGAAGCGGAGGTTATTTGCTGACGGCTGTACAGAACCATTTGGGTATTAAAAATGGAAACTGATTTTGACGCTAGACTAAAATCTCCATTCAGTGTACAAATTGCTGGTCCGTCAGGCTGTGGAAAAACCTTTTTTGTAAAAAGTATTTTGGAAAATTGTATGCAATGTTTAACTGAAATGCCAAAAAACATCGTGTGGTTTTTTACATCTTATCAACCTATGTATGATGATCTTTGTAATAAAAGTATTAGATTCATTCAAGGTCTCCCGCTTTCATTCGAGGATGATGATTTATTTCCATCGGGTCACAACCACTTGGTGATCTTGGATGACATGATGTCTCAAACGTCCAGCCATCCTGGAGTGTTAAAATTATTTACGCAGCTGAGACATCACAGAAATATGAGCGTCATTTTAATCACTCAAAATGTTTTTCATCAAGGAAAACATAGTCGTTCCATCAGCTTAAACACCAATTATTTGATTTTGTTTAAAAACCCTCGAGATAAATTGCAAATCAATGTTTTAGCAAATCAAATATATCCTACCCAAAAAAGATATTTCATGGAGAGTTTTCAAGACGCTACGTCAGAACCGTACGGTTATTTAATTGTGGATTTAAAAGCGGAAACGCCAGAATCTTTCCGTCTCCGTACGGGTTTACTTCCGGATCAGCTCACTGCGGTGTATTTGTCTAAAACAGAGCCATGTCAGCCCGAATAAAACGCAACGCCAAGATTCTACGTGC